TATTTTGCAGACACATCTGAAGCGCGCGCTCTTGGAAGTGATTTCGTCTGGCGTGGCCAGCACCAAGCAGGACATCGATAGCTTCTTCAATTGCACATTGCTCAGTGCGCAGAGAAAGATTGCTGCAGCAGTCCAAGAGGAGCAGGAGGAAGATGAGGCGCATTTCATATGCGACGCTCTAGACTTTCTGCTCGAATACGAGTTCATACGCCTGCAAACGGATGAGGAGACGGATATGCAGAACTACGTGGCCACGCGGCTGGGCGCTGCCTGTCTGGCTTCGTCTATGCCACCAACGGACGGGCTCCTGCTCTTTGCCGAGCTGCAGAAGTCGCGACGGTGCTTTGTCCTGGAATCGGAGCTGCACGCGGTCTACCTGGTGACGCCCTATTCTGTGTGCTATCAGCTGCAGGATGTGGACTGGCTGCTCTATCTGGATATGTGGGAGAAGCTAAGCCCTGCCATGAAGAAGGTGGGTGAGCTGGTCGGCGTCAAGGAGGCATTCCTCGTGCGTGCCATGCGCGGCCAAGCCAAGCTGGACTACAAGCTAATGCAGATCCACAAACGGTAGGCGGAGCAAAAACCCAAAGAGAATCATTCACTCAATTGTTCCATTGCAGCTTCTATACGGCTCTGGCTTTGCAGGAACTGGTCAACGAGACGCCCATCAATGTGGTGGCCCACAAGTTCAAGTGCCAGCGCGGCATGCTGCAGAGTCTGCAGCAGATGGCCTCCACCTTTGCCGGCATTGTGAGCGCCTTCTGCAACTCCCTGCAATGGTCGACTCTGGCGCTGGTCGTCTCCCAGTTCAAGGATCGGCTCTACTTTGGCATACATCGCGACTTGATTGACCTAATGCGTCTGCCCGATCTGAGCCACAAACGCGCGCGTGCCCTGCACGATGCGGGCATCACTAGCTTGGTGGAGTTGGCTTCCGCCAATGTGCTCGCTCTGGAGCAGGTGCTATTCGATTCGCTGAGCTTCGATTCGGCCAAACGGCATGAGAATGAGGACGAGCTGCAGGCTGCGCAGCGCAATACGGCCAGAAACTTCTACATCACGGGCAAAGCTGGGATGACTGTGGCCGAGGCGGCCAAGCTGCTCATTGAGCAAGCGCGTCAATTTGTGCAGCACGAAATCGGAGTGGGCAGCATCCAGTGGACGCAGTCAGCCAAGGCAGTCGAGCAGCTGCACATGTCCCTAGAGGAGGCGCCAGCAATGTCCGTTGAGCTGAGCTCGCAACGAAAGCGCAAGACGCCAGACAGCGCTGAGAGGCCGAGCAAGTTAGCGAAGCTGGATGAGCAAGTGCCTCAGTCCATAAAGCAAATAATCAGCAAGAGTGGACAGAAGTCTGGCAATGCAAAGGATGTAGAGTCAGTAGTTAGAGAAACGAGTCCAGCATTTGTGGCTGGCAAGGCAAGCAATATAAAGAATGTGGTGGGAGCAGCTAAAGATTTAAGGAGAGTAGAAACTGTAGATCAGGAGTTAACTCCAACTGTACCTGGAAAGGCAAACAATGTAAAAGCAGAAACCAAAGTAGAAAAACATAGAGCAGCAGTTGTTCCGGATGTGAAGCCAAGTTCAGCAGCTGTAGCCACGCCACCGAAGCCTCTGCTGGAGCGCAATCATCGCAGCTCAATCAATATCAAAGACGATGAGAAGCCCAGCACAAGCGCCGCCAGTCGCAAGGAGCTGCTGCAAAAGGAGATTGAAGAACGGCGACGTGTGGCCATGATGAAGATAAACAAGAAACGCGCTGAGATGGAAAACATGAGCAAGGGCTTGGTTGGGGATGCGCCACCAAGGACAACCTCTGGGCAAACGCCGCCGGCAACCAGACAGAGGGAAAGTGGGAAGGAAAATCTGCCCAACAAGGACTTCAAGACGCCGACAAGACTGACGGAAACCAAGTGCAATAGCGGTAAGGAGACGTTGGCTAAGCAGCTGCCACGACGCAGTCCACGTAATCATCAAGGCACGCAGGCGAACAAGCAAGCTGAGGCAGTGGAGCTGAATCAGAATCAGGAGCAGGAACTCTTCGCTAGCGACGACTCCTTCATGCTCAACACGGGCCTGACGGCTGCGCTGACAGCTGCCGAAAGCAAAGCCCAAGCGGACGCCGATGAGATACCCAGCTCGCAGCCGAAGGCAGGTACTCCAGGCAGATGCCGAACCCTAGTCTCTAGTCAGTTGCTGCGCTCGCAACGCAGAAGAACTCCCAAGCCGGGCGCAGCCAGAGGTGCTCAGCTAAGAGAGCAATCCACAACGAGTTCCGCCTCCTCCAGAGAAGCTCAGCTGAAAGAGCAAGCCAAAGCGAGTTCCCTGAGAGAAGCAAACTATGTACAGGAATCGAATTCGGCGTCTGCCAGCGACCATCTATCCACGTCGGCTGCCGCCTCCTCCTCCATAGAGCTGTCTAATCTCTCCCTGGAAAACTCGCTGATAAAGAATCCATTGCAGCTGAATGCTTCACACATACTCAGCTGCTCCAAGACGGAGGAGAATGCGTCCAGCTTCAGCAGCATTGACATCGTGGACATCTGCGGCAACAGGCAACTCTTCCGGATGGCTCTCCAAGAGCTGCTCCAGTCGAAGCGCTGCGGCTTCAGCATTGGCCTCCAGCCGCAGACGGGCAAACGAAAGCCACTCATTGGAGGCAATCTACTCATTAACCAGATGGCAGCTGCGGCAGAGCGTGAGGCGGCTGCAGGCACGACCATTCAGTTCCAAGTGGACGACAGCTCCTATTTGGCGGGAATCGCCTTTTGCCTGAACGACAATGTGGTCTACTACATGAACATGCAGCCAGAGGAGGAGCAGCAGCAGCAGCAGCAGCAGGTTGGCAGTGAGCTGAAGGTGCAGCAGTTGTCCAGCCTGCTGAGTCGTCAGGATCTAACACTGCTCTCACACGATGCCAAGGAACAGCTGAAGGTGCTGCGCCAGGCTGTGCCCCAGCTGAACGACATCCAAGTGCTGCTCGAGGATCCAAAGGTGGCCAACTGGCTGCTGCAGCCAGACAAAACCCTTAGCTTTCACAACATGGTAACAACATAGCTAACAGGTTGCTCCAAAGCTGCCAACTAACCAGTTCCAACTCTTCCATTGCAGTGCCAGCAATTCGCGCCGGAGTGCGGAGCGCTGGCTAATCTTTGTGGCAGTGGGCGTGGCTACAGCAGCTTTGGTCTGGACGCCAGCAGCGCGATCATGGCCAAGGTGCGTGCCTCCATTGAGGCTTGTGTCACAGTACATATATTGAACGGACAGCTGGAGAATCTGGAGAGGATTGGTACTGGACAACTGCTCAAGTTCTTCAGAGGTTGGCCAAGTTGTATGCCCTTCATTATAAACCATTTCATTGTTGAATCCTCTCCGCAGAGCTGGAGATGCCTATACAGATGTCGCTGTGCCACATGGAGTGCATCGGATTCCCAGCCAAGGAGCACAGCTTGCAGCGCCTCTTCCAACAAATGATGGCGACCATGAAAAGGCTGGAGAGCAAGATCTATGAGCTGCACGGTTCTCGTTTCAATTTGGGTTCCACGCAGGCGGTGGCCAAAGTTCTGGGACTGCATCGCAAGGCCAATGGGCGCGTTAGCACCTCACGCCAAATTCTGGAGAAGATCGATTCGCCCATATCTCAGTTAATATTGAACTATCGCAAGCTGAGCATGTTGCTCGCGAAGAGCATGCAGCCGCTGCTCAAGTGCTGCCAGGCGAACCGGGTACATGGCCAGAGCATCACCTATACAGCCACTGGACGAATCTCTATGTCGGAGCCGAACTTGCAAAATGTGGCCAAGGACTTCCATATTGAATTGGGCAAGGAGCAGCTGAAGATCTCGTGTCGCAGCGCCTTTGCGCCCATGGATGAGAAGCGTTGCCTGATCTCTGCAGACTTCTGTCAGCTGGAGATGCGCATCTTGGCGCATCTCTCGCAGGACAAGGCACTGCTCCAAGTGATGAACTCCACCCAAGATCTCTTCACAGCTATTGCGGCGCACTGGAACAAAATAGACGAATCGAACGTATCTGAGCAACTGCGAAACGGCACTAAGCAAATCTGCTACGGCATCGTCTATGGCATGGGCATGCGCAGCCTCTCGGAGGCATTGAAGTGTACCGAGCAGGAGGCGCAAATGATAACGGAGCAGTTCCACCTGGCCTACCCCGGCATAAAGTGGGTGCATTGCCTTATTTCTTATCATCTTTGTTTATATCTGTTTCTATTTGGCAGAGCTTATACCATGAAAGTCGTTAAGTTCGCACGTAACAATGGCTACGTGGAGACCATCACAGGCAGGAGACGTTACCTGGATCACATTAACAGTGGCGAGGTGCAACTGAAGAGTCTGTATATTCAGCATACATGCAAAGATCTCTTTAGCTCTAACGACATCTTTCTTACAGCCCAAGCGGAGCGGCAGGCCATCAACTCGACTATTCAAGGCTCTGCAGCTGATATAGCCAAGAGCGCCATTCTGCGCATGGAGAAGAATCTTGGTCGGTATCGCGAGAAGCTGGGCTTGGCCAAAAACGCCGTAAATCTCGTCTTACATCTGCACGATGAACTCATCTTTGAGGTGCCCACGGACAAGGCCAAGAAAGTGGCAAAAGTTCTAAGTCTAACAATGGAAAACTGCGTCAAGCTGAATGTGCCGCTGCGAGTGAAGCTGAAAATCGGACGTAGCTGGGGAGAACTTCAGGAGGTCAAGGTTTAATACTGGGGACTAAAAGCATCCCTGGAAATTTACTGACTCGGAAGGATGATGTTAAGGAGAAAATGCATCCGCTTTGAATCTGCTTGAAGTATGTGCGCGATATGCCCGAAAACCCGAAAATTAATAATCGACTCAATGTAGATACAAAAGCCATCGATTAAGCAGACCAAGCGCGAACAACCCCTTTCTCCTGCAGCCAGCCGGAAAGCTTAATAAAATGCCAATAAGCTCTTTTTCGCATATGTTAAACGACTACAGCGTATAAAAGAACAATACGCTTAATTGATAGTAATTTCACAAATAATTTATTACTTTTGAGCTCACATCTACTTTCGGCTTCCAAGAGTTAAGCTTATTTACTTTGCTTTTGCTCCCATTCAGTCCATGAGCCAGGATAGGCTTTGGCGCTGCAAATAAACATGAGTGAGTGCTGCAGCATTGCAATTGCATGTATGTATGTGGTCTTACTTAGCAAATCCAAGTGTTTTGACTAAAATAGCGGCACGGGCTGCCCTGCCACCGGCTTTGCAGGAGAAGATCATTTCAGCATCGATCGGCGGCTTTTCACGGCCATAACATTTCTTGAATTCTTCATCGGGCAAGTTGAATGCCTTTTCTAGCTCGGGTACTAGAACATGCACGTACATCATGAGTCAGCATAAAAAAGTCGGCTAGTTAATCTCTTGGTAGCGTAATTACTTACGAGGAATGTTAATGCTAGCAGGCAGTACACCAGTTTCTTCTAGTTCGGATTTATTACGTACATCGAATAAATACTTATGCGGTTGATTTGGTATATCTTTCACTTCCTCGTAGGTGGCCATTATAATCAAGTTATTAAATGCGAGAGAAACCCAGAGAAGCAAATTTACTTTTGACTATCAAGGAAAAGCCGGTCGGTTAGTATGCTAGATTAAAACATCGACTCTAGCTATCGACTATCGAACACTGGCAACTTGACAAGCAACGCAGTGTGACCATACAGCTCATGAAAAATAACGCCTTTTCGTATGATTGATTTTCAAAATACATTTTATTCGTAATTTACAAAATGTTTTTAAATGTAATTTTCATTTTACAAGAATTCACTATATATGTGGCGAAGGCATTCAATTGCACAATTTTCATTGCATCTGGGTTAAATTAAACATGATATTGCAAATAAATATATTACTTTAGTTCGATTTCAATGTGCTCTCGTATATGTCTATGTATATATATATATATATATATACATATAAATATATATAAAATATGTGTATCAAAAGTAGTAGTACTTTCACTAACTTCATGCATTTTCATTATCATCGAACAAGTGTTTATTATCATTATGCACTTTACTCTTAAATCAACATTTGACGTTATTTAGTTATAGGCAGCACTTATACAGAACTGTATTATTATTATAATTTGTTGTTTTACAATTCCACTAGCTAGTTTTTATATATATTTGTAATTCTTTCTCGCTTTACAATTTAAAATTGATTTGTTATCCAAAAATAGTTGTTGCTGTGTTTGCATTTTTTCTGATATTTCTTTAACTTACAGTTTTTTATAACGACAAAATAAAGTACATATAAAAAAGAATTTCTGCGAAACAAAAAACGTATAACAAACACGAGTGCAGCATTAATATTTTGCCAACGGTTTGACGAAGGCAACATACTTCGTGTGTGCGAATATTCCTCATTTGGTACGGTGACGATTTCGGCATTAAGCGAAACGCTTTGATGGTGGGACCAAATGCTCGGGCAATGTAGTTGGCAGCTCACAGCCATCGAGCTTGACATTGATTAAGTGCAATGCTAGCGCGAATTCATCACTATCCAAAAAGCCATCGCAATCAATATCCGACAGTTTCCAGATTTTGCTAAGCACAGAGTTGGGCAGTTTTGATTTGATGAGCTCCTGCTTTGCAGCTGCAGTAGTGAAAGTTCAGATGTTAGAGCAATCTTTCAATGTTCAATGATATCTAGAATACATACTTGAGCCAGAGATTTTGCCATCGACCGGTCCCAGCCCGTTGAAGATGGCATCTGTACGTGGCTTATCCTTGTTGCATATCCACTCGTGCTCCCCGTAGCCAGCGTCGATGCCCTCGCCCTTCATGTAGCCGAATGGTGAGACGTTGTCATCGATGACGCCCTCGAACGCACCACCTGCAAGAAATTACAGAGAAAGAGGAAATGAATTTATTTTCCGATAAGAATTATATTTACATTTATATATCGCTATCTGGTCAATTTATTGAGTATAGCTATTTATATTTTTATTGAGTATGTAATCTAACATCGATAACAGTGGTATGCCTTTAGCTCCTTCTCTAGGAAAGCAATGATGCAATGTCTGCTGATTAACCATGTAATCTAATCAATTACATATCGATAACAATGCTATCTGTTCATCTCCATCTCCAATACCGGTCAAGCAATTCAAATGCAGATTCATTGAGCATGAAATCTAAGTGGTTCACACACACACACACACGTACGTACACACGTTCAATTGGGCGCAATTAAAAACCTTCAGTTTCGTTTAGGCTACAATTGAGATGCCGCCACATCGTGACCATCATGCGAGAGAGTTAAGTAGGCACTTGGTCTGCGCCCCTACCTCAACAAGTGCAACAATAAGCAGCCCTGGCGCATAGTAAACGAGCTTGACGCAGCATGCCGCAAGTGCAGTCTTTGCATACCCTTCCAGAATATTATTTACTTTTTGAGTGCCATTTGTAACGCAAAGTAGAAGACATCGTCCATCAATGGCTTATTGGTATCTCATCTTATCTTTACTTTTTTTTCTCTACTCTTCTCTTCACTTTGCGTCAAGAGTATTTGCTTTTCGGCGAACCGAAGTAAATTAGTTATCAATTAATTTGCAAATCTTTAAACCAATAGAAATAGGTACATATATTGGCTTGCTTACATCAATAGCTGTCTCTGGCTCTGGGTCTGGCTCTGGCTCTGGCTGTGGGGAATCGAGTTTGGAATCGGGGTGGACGATTGTCTCAATTGGCTTTGCGTTGTCTGTGTCTGTGTCTGTTTCTGTGTCGTTCTCGATATGGCCTACTCTACTAGTGCAGCTGCTGAACAGCCGAAGCTGCTGCTGGCGCAGATTTTGCAGCCAGCGATCGAAGCGCTCCGCAAATTGAGCACTTTGTGTGCCAGGGGTCAGAACCTGGGGCTCCTTCTCCTCCTCCAATTCCTCCTCATCCTCTGTGACACAAATGCATAAAAAGAAATTAGAACGAGAGAGTGAGACAGAGACAGAGACAGGGATAGAGAGAGAGTTGCTGGTGCAAGAGAGTGACAAGGAGGTTACCCTTGCTTCAACTCCTTCTCATCCTCTTCTGAGTTACAAATGCATAGAAAGAATTCAGAGTGTGAGCTAGGCAGATTTGCTGATGCAAGAGCGTGACAAGAAGACTCCTCTTACGCCAGCTCCTACTCCCATCCCTCTCTCTGTCTAGCTATGCAAATGCACACAACGAAATTACAGCAAGAGTAAGACAGAGACAGAGACAGAGCGAGAGCCAGAGTTGCTGGTGCGACAGCGTGGCAAGGAGTTCACGTCTCCTCTTTCTGCTCCCTCTTTGCTAAACAAATTTACAAAGCGAGCGAGAGAGAAGGGCACTGAGTTGCTGGTGCAAGAGGGTGACACAAAGCGTTCAAATCATTCTGACGAACGTTGGAAAAATCTACAACTAAATAAAACAAAATTAGTGTGCCATTGTCAAAGTAGAGAAGAAAAGAATTGGCCAACTAAAAAGAAGAAGAGCTCGAAACAAGAAAGCTCGCAGAGTAGGTTGAAACTTTTTAGCGACTTCTTGCTAAACATTGTGATATTTGCAAATGTGTTCGTCATACAGTACAGACACACACACACACGCATACATACATACATATATATACTATATATGCAGTTATGATAGAAGATGAGCGAACAAAATAGACGAAAACTAAAATAAACTTGTCGAGAGCGTGTGGAAATTTAATGAAATTTGCTTGCCTTGAAGCACGATCTGTGACAAGTGTTAGTGGAGAAAAAGACTATTAAGGTTTGTAGACTATCTAGATAGCTTCCAGTTATCTGAGCATAGCATAAAATCAAGTTTGCTTTAATTTAGCTGTGATGATGGCTGCAAAGTTCTATAACTACTTTTTATTATACATACATACATACAATATATGTACGTATATTAAATCTCTTCATATTCTATACTGTCACTTCGTGATATTACGCCTCTATAAACTTGTATCACGGAAAGAAAAACTATTTCATTCAAAGGTCATTTGCCCGCTTAAAATACCAAACAAATTTGAACGGAAATGCAGCAAGAGACGAAATGACAAACAAAGGCACAAATCGGAAAATCGGAAAATCAACGAACAACAAATGTAAATAAACGATATATAAGAAAGAAAGAGAGAGTGAGAAACGACATCAGAACCGGCACATTATTCAAGAGAAACGAAATTAGCATCGGAATTGACGTTTCGAGTGTTCTTGACTTTGATTTTTCGCTCTGCTCAGCTCCGATTCGTTTCTTATGTCGACTTATCAGCGCATTCTTTTATTTCTTTTTTATTATTTTGGTGGGTATCTTTAAACGTTGCCAGTCCAGCCCCTTTGCCAACTGCTGGGGTAATTCAAACAAGTTCATTCACTTGTTCCCTGCATTTTTGGTATACCCTGCAGAATCAGGGCACTTTAGTTTCATGGCACAATTTGTAACAAGTTTTCGCTTCAGGCGGGCCTATTTAATTTATTTCGTTTTCACTTAAGGTTTCTCTGCTTCTCACGAAGTTATAATGGTAATGTTGCCCATTGTGCATCGAGCGAGTACCATACAGTCATTTAGAGCCGATTGTAAAGGTTTGTTTCTTTTTTTAGGCTACTGCGAAACCAAAGTAATTTAATTGAGGGAAATATTTGGTCAGGCATGACGCATTTATAAGCCGATCGAATGACATCAGATTTGATAGCTTTGGAATTGGGTTGGATTATATGCACATACACATATTTATATATGTATATGTATCTATCTACATAGTATGTGAATAAATAGCGATGTGGCAGTCAAGTGGACCTTCAGATTAGCCACTCGCCCAGAGCTTAAAATGCCTTTATAGAATAGTTCTCTAAATACAGACGGGGTAAATCATCAAATAAATGCTTTCATCCTGCATTTAGTGCGAGTGTCTCTCTTTCCCTCGCTCTCTCTATATATATCTTTGCGTCTCTTTTTCTGCCTCAATTTGAATTTGAATTTGTAGTTGAAATTTCTGGAGCATAGGATGGGGCCACTTAAAGGCACACGCGACACGTCGGCGCCATAAATTGATCCGCGGCCTCAGGTTGCGTTGAGGTGAGAGACAGCTAGATATAGAGAGGGATAGCAATTGGAATCGGAATTGGAATGAATTGCATTGGGCTTGGCTAGACTTAGCTTGACTCGTGCCAGTTTTGTGCGGCTCAGAGACAGATCAAGGAGGCGGGCAAACAAATTGCATTCATACAATTACATATGTATATCAAATGATATTAAAACTAATGTCCAAAAGAACAATCTAAAATATTTTTTATATATGGTAAATAGAAATGGAGAAAGATATACAATGTGTGAGATATTTGGCTAAAGAAACATTCAATTTAAAAAGACGTTCGTCTAAAATGCATACACTTTTCAAGCTACCCTCGTTCATTCATTAATCATTATTCTGTTATTTCACGTTACGTAATTTAGCTACTATACTACACAATGTGTGGCAAGTGTGTGCATTTTTCGCCTATAAGTATTCCTTTCAGCCAATTTATGTCATCG